CAGCTTTTGGTCTAAGACAGATGTTGTTGGGTTGTAGACAAAGCTTGGCTGGTAGTTTATTTAAATGAAATGTTGTCCATAATGTCTGAACCCCACAAACATGAATCTTAAGGAGTCAACAGCACAGCAGATTTGTACTGCCTGAGCTTGCTGAGTGTCATGGTGTTTATACTCTAGGTACTGTTTTTTGTGTCTTGTTTATGTTTCATTTATACTTCAGGTGAATGGTAAAGTAGGTAGTACCTTCAGTATGTGCAATTACCTAGACAAATACCTACAACCTTAAGACTAGGAGACAATGACCAGCATAATGCACATGTAAATATAACAGAGAGAAAAGTTGGGACCAGGCAGTAAGGCAAATACATTAACCCCTCCTACACCCCTCTGTCCCTGAGTTAGTGACTTGAAATCCCTCTAATATTTGGTGAAAGGTAGGATCCCATTAGCCAGAAACTATTCTTAAGTGCCTTCTTGTGAAAAGCAATGCCTACCAACAGTCTTGTGTAGTAGAATACATGTATGTGGGCACATACACATATATATACACACACATATATAAAGGTATCTGGGTGCATACAGGTGTGTGTTTTTCTATGCATATATAATATGTGTGTGTGTACATAGAGAGAGAGTTATAAAATGCAATGGTTCTCAGACTTCACAGAATATGAGAGCAAGCTTCACTTCAGGGCTGAACTGCGTTTGAACAATTTCTCCAGTGCATTAAGCATCAGCATCAGACATGCATGCTTATTTTTGCTTCACTTCTCCTTTTCTTGAGCAAACCAGTTTACTTTCAAAAACATAAAGAAAAATATCTCTCCCCTCCCTCCTTCCTGCTGTTTTTTAGAGCAGTGATCATGCAGTGCAGTCTTGTTCCACAACTATAACTGTTTTTTATGTGCAGTGGTATCAGTGCCGTGGTGCTTAGTCACCTTCCTCGGTCATCTCCCAAGAGCAGAATTTTCTCTTGACAATTGATTTCCACCATCTTATTGTGTTCTTTTCCCACGGTCTGGAAATGAGTACTGGTATCTCCCACACAGAATGCTAGGAAGCTGCTTTTTAGTACATCAGCTGTGGCCACACTGCAAGAAGGTACATGAGCACCGGGTCTGTTCCGTTCTGTTTAAAAAGCGTACTCGTTTTGAAGGGACTGTCTAGGCTTCTTGGCTTGTACAGCATAGAGCACACTGTTGGCACTTAGATAATAAAAAAACAGCCATTTATAACAGGTAGATAAATGTCATGATAAGAATTCTCCCCCAAAACACCAGTGTTTTTTTTTTTTTTTTTAAACATAGTTTTAAATGGAATATATTTTTCTCTTTAGAAAGTAAGCTGATTTAAATGAAATGTGAAATTGGGAGAGATGATAAGAGTTGTGATTGGAATTCAAAGCCTAAAATATAGAGAAAAGAAACAAAGAGAGCCTGAATCTAATAATTCCAGACTATTTAAGGAAATGGTAGCCAGAGATAGTCACCTTAATTTACTATGTACAGATATTCTGTCTCATAAATCGGTATTTTTTTCCTTAAGTATCCTGTTCATTTATCGCAGTTTTGCATAACGGATAAAATTCCACTCAAATGTACTCTGTGCAATTAAACACAACTAGAATGTTCTTATAAATAGAGCTTGACTTATATCAGAAATAAAAATCAATAGTTTTTTAGGTAGAAAAGTCCTGACACAATAGAAATGTAAACACAAAGAACCTGAATAAATAAACATAAGTGTTTAATTGCATGTGTAAATTTGTGTAGGTTCAGTATAACCTCCAAATTAACAAAATGAAGTGCCAACTTTAGCACACAGGAGGAATCTGGTTACAAAACAGTATGTCTTAACAGCTAGCAATTACTAAACCCAGCATTCTTTCAGGATAATAATTAAACTGTGCATGTATAAAACAGTTAAAATTGATTTAAATCACTTGGATGTAAATCTGTCTGGCTTGAATTGAAACCAAAGTTTGTGTTGATGGAATTTGGTTATTACAATCCATTAAATCAATTCTCATCAGCAAGCAGTGCGTGAGTGATGACTGAGATCTACCCCAAAACTCTGTATATCTTTAAGACTTGTACTGTTTCTGTGTATGGATCGATCTGGTAAATATATGGGTTTGTCTGTGCTTATTACTGAAATTCATGTTGAAATCTGCATTTTGACAGAATCTGTACAACAATTAGAAACTGATACTGTTTTGGTAAACTCTTCAAAGCTGAGGCCATATGTTCTCCTTCCACTTTTGTAGCATGACTAGCATACCTGTAGATACTGCTACACCACAGACAACAAAAAAGAGTTGTTATTGTGTCTTTGAGTATAGTTAGTAACTAGATGATTTAAAGAGAACTCTCTCTTATTTCTTTCATAAGCCCAGATCTCCACATGAGTTGCTTCCAGTGTGAGCCTGAATAACAGAGGGGGCCACGGTGGCAACAAGCCATTTTTAAATTTTATCTTTTGCAGGAATTAGGATGATGCTAAAGTATCCTTCACTGGATTGAAAGACCTTTTGTAGCAATTGATAAAGTTGTGGAAGTAGTTATATGAATACAGCTATATGGATATGTATGGGTATAGGCGTATCCTGGATGGGTATGTTTATAACCTTGGACAGTGGCGAGAATATGGCATTGGACTCTGTAAAACAGAAGCTTCTATTCTATTCTACTACTCTTATTCTATTTTATTCTATTCTATTCTAAATTTCTATCTCATCCCATCCCATTCACTGTCTTTCTATGTTAAATGATTCTTATCTTCTACTTGTCCCCTAGAGATGTTGAACATTATAAAGTGCAGGTGACATTGACCAAAGAATAATGTAAAGTCCTGTATTTGTTTTTTCCTCCTTGAATACTGTGGAGGCTAACACTGATGTTCTTTGGGGAAAAAGATCCCTAGGGAACCAAACCCTTTCTCTCAACAAATAAAGTTTTAAAACATCAAATATGGCTTGTTGTTATCATACCAGTGTGTTTTGATTTCCAGGATGTAATATTGCTGTAAATAGTGCTACAAGCAGGTCAAACCATGGCTTGATCAATTTGACATTTGAATTTGTCACTCCCCTACCTAACGGTCTGCCTACATTTACTGAGCAATTGCAGTAAATACATATGCATGTGTTGTTCCTGGTGTGCCTCAAGCTGTAAATAACAGAAAGGTATCACTAAATGCTGTGAAAGCCTCTTAAGGACAAACTGTAGCAATTCTATACAACCTTGTCAAATACTATACAGTCAGAGGGAAGCACAAAGTGTCTTTGACTGTGGCTGGGACATGGCAATACTTTTATAGGTTGATTGGACAAAATGTCAGCTCATATACTGATTTATGTCTCTTAGTTAAGAAAGCAAAATCACCTATACTCCAGTGAGAATGCAGCATTGAAATAAAGTGGGACACAGTTTATATGGATTGATCATATTTCTTTTTATCAACTACAAGCTTAATATTATTACCTTCTTTTTTTCCACAGATCTAGCTTTCTTTCCAGTCAGTATGAAGATGCTCAATGAATGCAATCTGCTGTTCTGGAAGAAAGACTGAGAGTATAAAGAGAATGGGATAATATCTCAGCTAGAGGGCTCCATATGTTGATGACAAGGTATGGTATACTGAGAAAGAAATAGAATTAGAATTGTTCTAAGTACCTATGAGCCACACGTAATACTAGGAAGGAAACAACATTTTCTAAATGCACAGCACTGTGCCATAAGTGCAGGTGAAAAATCTTTAGTTGAGCACAGACAGATGGGAAGCCAAAGTTAAGATGGCATTGGAGATATGCACTATTGTAATGTGAGATTATTAAAAAGCTCCTAGCAAAGCTCCCAAAGGACTGAATCTTAAGTGCTACCACAGAATAGATTGTACCACTGATAAAGGAGTAAATGCCAGTCCCAAGTAAAAATCCACTAATCCATTAGCAGACTTGCTTCCACTAATCAGAAGAAAAGAAATTACATTCAAGGCTGAATGGAAGTGTATGTTGGGATGGATATTGTTTGCCTGTATTTAGTTCTTTTACTCAAAAGAGATGTTCAGAAGAGAAACAAAAGAAAAAAGTAAAAAGTTGACCCTTTGTGAGCTGTTCTGTGATATGGTTTTATCATGTGAGCTGGTGATAGTAAATAAAAAAACCAAACCACATTACAAAAGGCTGTAGTAGTGAGGTAAGATTTATCTGGGCAGTCAAGACTGTCCTGAGTTGCAGTTGGCACCAATACAAGAAATAGTTGGAAATTATTATTTCTGGACTGGTCTGTGGTTGGGTGTTAGCTCTAGTGTGAATATACTGCAGTCGCATGTGCTGAGATTTGATTACACATTTAATCACCAGATGTATTGTGTTGCACTTCTAGGCAGTGGATGGAGTTGTCAATCCCTAATTAGGTAAAATACTGTCTTCAAACTGTTTTTAAATGCCATACATTACTACTGTAGTTCTGTTTTGTTCTGTTCTGTTCTGTTCTGTTTTGTTTTGTTTTGCTTTGCTTTGTTTTGCTTCGTTTTGTTTTGTTTTAAAGGTGGAAACTGGAAATGAGGTTCAAAGGTTCCTCAGTGAACATATGAGCTGGTAAGATAAATTCTAAATGCATCCACTAAATTAGAAAGTTGCTGAATTTCTGATAAATCTTAATAAACCCCACTTTTTTGCAACCAAGTTTTGTCAGCTCTAGATAGTTTTTACCTTGCCAGATTCTCATTGCCTCTGAGTAGAACCTGCTTGAATGAAAATGAGGGAAAATCAAGTGAGAGCTGGGTGTTGTTCAAACAACTGTGACACATTATATCCCTCCCTAAAAAATCATTATGATTCAACAGAAGAGTAATGTTGGTGCCTAAGTGTCATTTGAATCTGGTCGATCAAAAAAGGCTTTTTCACTATTCTGAATTTTCAAGTCATGTCATCTTTCAGCTTAATGATCCTTTAATATCAGCCTGCCAGTCTGCAGAATATCTCAGAAGTTAAGTACTTACATATACATGGGCTGTAGCTGTAAATGAGATGTCTTCTGTGGACCTTGATAGCCGTAAGAGTCAAAGCCACCTATGAAATCAACTGAAAAGGGGAAAATTGCTTTCATTAGCAACATCTTTTCAGAAGTGATATGCACTATCATTCAAGAACCACCCAGCACACAGATTATTTTTTGACGGGCTCCCTAATAATCTGTTAAAATTAAACCAGCTAATTGTGGAAATGCAGAAAAAAGAGTAAAAAAAAATAGAGAAAGGCAAAGGCACTTTAAAAAAATTAAAATCAAATTAATTTTAAAATCACAGAAAGACAATGATGTTACAATGAGGGATATGTAACAACCATCTGTCTACGAGAAACAGCCACACATTCCTCTTTTTAAGTAGACCACGTCACTGGAGTACAAAACAACATGTTATTCAGATATCACAAATGCTGAAAACCATTTATTTATTGGCATGAATGTATTGCTTCGGACTGCGATTACTGTGTCTGGGTTGCTGTCATACTGTGGCTCAGTGATGTAGAGGAGAGAGCACATTGATCTGACTCTGTCTGAGAGACAGGAGTTTCTCTGACTCCTTGCTTTGACATTTGAATTGAAATGCACGAGCAGAGGGTTGGAACAATTTATCTGAACTTCAGAGACGCGGCTTCACAGATCTAAGGAGGCCAGCATTTCTCTCAAGGGCCTGGAAGTCTGCAGTAAGTTTGTGAGGTGGGACTTATTTATTAATTCACACCATTGCCAGTTCCTGATTGTCTTCTCATGTTTATTTTAAAAAACTTCCAGGGCAATGCAATCTCATCTGAGCCTGAGACCCCTGTTCCTCTGCTGTAACACTTTATTTACACAGGTAAAAGCACACCCTTTGCTTGCTTTGCATGAGGAGGCACAACTATTCTTTTGGGGGTTATCTGTGTGTGGCCCTGAATTGTCTCTTACATTGCAGATGTGAATTTTACTTTAGTTTGATAGAAAAAGGCCAAAGAGTTCAGGTATGGAAGTACATTTTTCATGGGTCTGGGCACTGCTATTGACAGACTTGCTCTGTGTACATTAAAAAAAAAAAAAAAAAAAAAAAAAAGTTCTTTGATACAGAAGAGCTTCTGATGGATCTAAAATGCAATAACATTCACATAAAAATCACAAAATGTAAATATATAACCCTTAGTTTTGGAACTTTCACAGTGATTTGAGTCCTTAGAACTTTCATTTATGAGGTTATTTTATACTAAGGTACCCCTCAATCTGTGACATGTATCAATGCAGTCACACACCTTGCAGACATGTTACAAAATCAAATTCTTGTACTCCTCTGTCCACCATTTGCTTTGCAAGCAAAAAGACATCAAAATACAAGACTGGACTGGTACAGTAGTTCTCCGTTGGAACCACAGACACATTGAACCAGTCATCTACTGTCTTCCCTGGTAAGAATGGCACCTGCAGAAATAATTTAGCTGATTCTGTAAGTATCCTCCTATCACAGAATGATATTTTACTAAATTAATCCCTGACATCTCTAATGAAGGAAATTCTATAGTCTCTCTATGTTGCCTTTCCCTGCACCTAACTTCCTAATGTCTAATTCAAACGTAATTTCCTGCAAATTAACTACTTTTCTACATTTTAGCCTTTTCTCCCTATGGATATGAAGACAAATGACCCATTTGTTTCTTTTATAACTACTTTTAAGCATTTTCAAAAAGTATTTTCATGCTATCCATCTTCTCCAGATTTAAACATGCCTGGGTTTTTCAGTTTCTTCTCATGTCCTCCAAGCCTCTAAATTTTCAAGCCTGAACTCTTACAGTGGGGTGCAGAAATCAGGACTAACTGGAACAACTGCTAATGTAAGTACACTACCTGGAATAACATGTTGGTTGGGTTCTTTATTGTTGCTGTTTGCTTGTATTATTTTTTAATTATTTTTTTTTCAACTGTATCATACAAATGCTTAATAACCAGGTCTTTATTTTAATGTTTTGACACTAACTGTAGTCTAGTCAAGTCATCTGTATTTTATCTGAAGACACTTTGCTGATTCTTCTTCACAGATCTTTTGCACTTGTCTGTATTGGATTTCATCTTCTTGATTTCAAGCCACTTCTCAAGATCATTTTGACTCTAGTCTTATTTTCACAAGTGCTTGTAGCCCTCCCGGTCTGGTTTCATCTGAAATTTTTAGAAATATTCTCTCCTCTATATCACCCTTGCTGTTAACAAAAATAATGAAGAGAGTTATTTCCCTAGCTGTGGCCCCAGTGGGATCCTACCTGAAATGTCATTCCAGCTGGCTGATAACTAAATTTCAAATAGTGTTTTAAACAATTCTGCACACAACCTGCGATGACTACATCTGGACAATGCTTTCCTGGCCTGCTTACAAACCTTTCGTAGGGTCAAAATCTTGCTAAAATCAAGAACAATGACATTTGTTGTTTCCTACTTACTCATTGTCTGTAACCATCAGAATAATTTTATTACAGTGTGATCATGTCTTTGGAAGCATACTAAGTTTATAGGCACAGAATGAAGGATTCACTACAGGAATATTGTTGAGTGAAGTGCTAGGCTGGGAGGAAATAAATCCCCTTTTACTCAAATAAAAAGATTCTGTAAAGATTGCAAAAAAAAAAAAAAAAACGGACGTCTTTGCTGTAACTATGATTTATTGTTTTCTTACCCAGTTTTCCTTTTTTCTCACTCTTGACCTCTGACAACACAAGTCAGAAAATATCTGTGTTGTACTGAGTGTCTTACCCTGAATGTCAACCCTTGCCACTTTACAGATGCTGCTTCTATGCGTTTGCCTGGTTTTGCATTTCTTGTGTACTTTCTAAGACTCTTCAAGCAACTGGTAAATTGTTATTTTAAGGCTGCAGGCAGAGATACTCTGCTTTGCAGTTGTGGGGCAAAAGGTCTTCGCGGTGATTTTAGGCTTGTTTTCAGAAAGCTAAACCAACGTGCTCAGAAAAAGATTTCTTTGAGCAAAATGAGTTTGTGTGGGCACAAGAGAAAGATGCATGCCAAATAGCTCTGCATGCACTGTGTCTTTGCCCTGTTGCACAGAGCAAACAGGATGTTAACAAGCCAGATTGTCTAGTGACACACAAGGCAAGCTTGTAGAGATGTTGCTGTGTTCAACTGGCAGTGGAAGTTCCTATGTGTGTAACCAGATGATGGTAGGGCAGAGAGTACTACGGTGACCTTATTGTAGGGATACAATGGCTTCTTACCTGCAACAACAAACTTTGCAAGGTAGGTGAAGGTAGGTAACAGAAAGTGAACTCTAATTCAAAGGGATTCCAGTGATTTCTTTGTATCAGGCTTTCTTGTTGGTGGCAATTTCTCAGCACTGCAAAGCCTGCTGTGTCCAGACTGTGCTAAAAGCTCCCTGTGGACTCTGAGCTAGTTTCTTAAAGCATGCAAAATGCTGCCCTTTCTGCAGGCATTTTATCCTGACTGTGCCTAAAAGGTCACTAAAAGTGTCGTGCAACTGATACATTTCTGGCAGCAGTAACATGAGATGAATAAAACAAGGCTTAGTTGAATCGCTACAAAGGCTTCCATCCTTAACCTCATCCATCAAACACATTTTTGACTATTCTATTTTACATTCATGTTACATGTCACTGTTATCAGAAGTGGCTCTTTTGTCATGTTTTGCTTTAGTAAAAGCACACGTTCATATACAAACAAACACAAAATCCCATTCCTTTGAAATATTGGGTGCTGCGATGCTTATTTTTCTAGCTGGATTTGAATAGGATAACAGTAGTACTATTTATCTGTAAAATGTGTTGTAAGAAATTCACCCTGAGTATCTTCCTCCTTTGCTAGTGTTAAGGAGCTTGTCAGGCATATGACTGTAGTTACAACTGTAACACAGACAGGACATATGGCTCAAAATAGGGATGTGTTTTCTATTACTAAACCCCATGGGGATGTGGGGTCTCAGCCTCTGCTCACAGCACAGTCCTTACTGTCTTCAGTGTATATCAGCACAGGATGAGAGGCATAAATGTGCTCATTTTTCATTTCTAGAAGTCTGTGGTATGTAGAGGGACCATTAAACAGCGACATACAAAAAAAGACCCCATTAACATTGAAAAAAACATTGAAGCTGATGAAATCAACAGATGGGCAAAGAGAAAGGACACTGTGGAATAAAAGCAATATCTTCCTGTAGAAAGCAAAAGGAAAGTTGTTCAATAGAAATCAGAAGAATGGACACTATTCTACTTACAGAAACTTTCCTCTGTAAGATATAAATACAGAAGCAGTGAATCAGGTCCTCAGCTAATATATGGATTTATAGCTTCAGTGACTTCATGAAGCAATGGTAGTTTACATTAGAATCATAGTATCATAGAATCATAGGGGTTGGAAGGGACCTTGAAAGATCATCTAGTCCAACCCCCCTGCCAGAGCAGGACTACCTAGAGTACATCACAGAGGAAGGCGTCCAGGCGGGTTTTGAATGACTCCCGTGAAGGAGAATCCACAACCTCTCTGGGCAGCCTGTTCCAGTGCTCCGTCACCCTCACAGTAAAAAAAATTTTCCTGATATTCACCTTGAACCTCCTATGCTCCAATTTGCACCCATTACCCCTTGTCCTATCACAGGTCAACACTGAAAAAAGCTTAATTCCATCTTCCTGACACTCACCCTTTACATATTTGTAAACATTGATGAGATCACCCCTCAGTCTCCTTTTCTCCAGGCTAAAGAGACCCAGCTCCCTCAGCCTTTCCTCATAAGGGAGATGCTCCACTCCCCTAATCATCTTTGTAGCCCTACGCTGGACTCTCTCCAGCAGTTCCCTGTCCTTCTTGAACTGAGGGGCCCAGAACTGGACACAATATTCCAGATGCGGTCTCACCAATGCAGAATAGAGGGGGAGGAGAACCTCTCTTGACCGACTAACCACACCCTTTCTAATGCACCCCAGGATGCTAATGACCAGGGAAGCACATGTGCATGTCCATATGGACATGCATGTCGTGACTGAACATATTCCCCATGTAGTATAGCAGAAAGAGAACACATGGTGTACAAGTGCTGCATCTGAGA